TATATCACTAGATCGTGTAGCTTAATACCATGAACTTTTCATTGATTCAAAATTTGCGATAATAAACTGAAGTTATAACTTTTCTTTATGCTATCTAACTTGTCACCAGGCCGTGTTTGGGTCACATCGACCACCATTGTAAAATATAACAAGGCACACCTGGGACCTGGCAAGGTACGAAGTAAATGTAACCATGTATTTAGTGAACAAAGTCTTGACCTCGAGAAAGAAAAAATGCCACAAAGGACTATTTAACGTCCGTAGGACTGTTAAAAGCGAATGCTCACACTATTGACGGTCGGTCGGGGATTCAAGGGCTTCGGCGATAAATGACAAATGTCATTATGACATCTAGTTGATGAATTCTGATTGGCGGTTCATCTGTTTCGTGGCCCTAAATTTCACAAAAAAAGGACTACTTTTGGAGTGCACGATTCTCAAAGTTTCCTATTGTAATGTCCCGTTTAAAATTTTTTGACCGTCTTAGAAAAGCTACGGTTTTACGTTTAAGTTCGAACTTTTTTCCCTCACCTCCTGAACTATATGAGGTTAGCCTCAGAGTCAGAGGCCAGAACCCGCCTTCCAGTCTTCCAAAACCCGGCTTTTTTTAAATTTCTTGACTTTTTGACTCGAATAGACGTTGCTTCTAATATTAAAGCGTTTATTCACGTTCAAATTTCTTGCAAAACTGATCAGTCTGGTTACTCACACATACAGTATGTAGCCTCCTAAATTAGAACTCTGGTATTTATTTAATAATACTAAATTTCAATACACTTCGTCTATAATAAATATTTATGCTGAATTCGGTATAATTTATTAAATTTCAATCGAAGGTTATATATTTGTGCTGAATTCCAGAGTTCCTGACTTCTGAAGACTGAAGACTGAAGTTTTGTGTGGGATTCCCGACTCTTGACTCCTACATAAAGTCCTATGTCACTGACTCACTGTGACAACCATGTGACTGTGATGGAGTGAAGACAGTGAAGGAATGACGGAATACCTCTATAAGGCAGTTATCGGCACTCTCAGTGACAGTAGTGAGTGAGTCGGCAGTTCGTCAGTTCGGCACTGCTAAGTACCGAACACTCTTGTGTTGTGATTTGTGAAGTGTGGAATGTGAATCTGTGTCAGTGTGAGATTGTGAATAATCAATAACGTGATTACTGTGAACTGTGAACTACTGAACTCACTGAACAGTCGACCTCAGTCACAGTGACTCAGTCAATTCACGGACGAAGTCAGAACTGTGAACAGTATTTAAACTATGAAGTATAAACTGTAAAGTGTAAACTACAGAAGCTATTTAAAAAAAAATACGTTATGTGTATGCTGAATAAAAATTGAACTTTAACGCCTATTTTCATGTTCTATATACTTTTTAAAAACGGCTATGTAGCTCAAATAAGCCCAACGAAATTTCAAAACTGCACTTCGAATGTGCACCTAATATACTATATTGAGAGTGTTGACTAATCATAAGCTCGCCATGATTTCGATGACGCATATCCCAATTCCCAACCGACAGCCTGTTTTGTCATATTTGGGGCGCTCAACAACCTCAACTGGGGATAAATGTGCGGATAGAAATCCCACCCCGTCTGAAATCCATAGGACCGTGAATGTAATAAAACTTGAACTTTAACGCTTATATCGGCATGTAATATAGGTTTTAGAAGGCAGAGTGCAAACTGAAAAGACTTTCCTACTCCTCCAGAGCAAATAGAGTTAAGTACTGCGAATAAGCTCTAAAATCCTGGGTCAACTGTGAAGAAGTGTAACTCTTGCCTCTCTATTGTGCCACTGCCTTCATGTGGTGAACTTCCTGTGAGTATTGAATTTAGCACTCTTGCGGTGAAGTCATGAGAGAATGAACGTTGCGTAGTTTTTACTGATCGGAAGCTAAAACCAATTACTCATGATTGAAACAAACATTCCTAAATACTTGATCCACTCTTTTAGAGTATTTCGGCTATGACGCAATGTACATACACACCTTTAAATTTTGATTCATTGATAAGCTGAGCTGGTATAGGTTTACAACAGGTAGTAAACTTTTGGATATTTAAAACCTTTATAACATCTAGTAAACTTTTAATGTAGTAAAGGGTTTACAACATATTTTATAAACATACATACGGTTCTCTACAGGTTTACAACGTATGGTACAATTTGTAGTACTGAGAGAATGTGTTCACAAGAGATACTGGGGTCCGGGTGTGGGACTGTGGCTGTCCATTTGACGCTTGTGTGTGTAAACTACTGGCCAGTGACACTACTGACGGTTGGGACTTGTTGAGACCTATTTTTAAAAATATGGACCGGGACCGCCAAGAAAAAGGGCGGGCGGGCTGCGGTACACGATTTGACGATGTGAGTTCGTGACAACCAACGGAGACATTCGACAGACGACAAGCCGACAACTGGCAACATCACAACAAGGCCGACAGGCGACAACGGACAACTTATTAGCTTATTTACAAGTTCAACTGACAAGCGACAACTGACAAGATGGCAACTTAAGACAACTACACTTAACATTTTAATCGATACTGCTTTCTAATAGGCTATATTAAAATTGAATACATGTGATTGATATTATGATAACTTTTATCTTTAACCAGTGTTGATTGATGAAAGAAAAACAAAACTTGCAACACCGAAATCATGTTTACAACATAGGGTTTACAACATGTAGTAAACTATTTGATGTTTAAACCTTTATAACATTGTTTTAGAGATTTAATCTAAAACAATGTAGTTTACCAGACCAGTTGATAAGTCGATAAAGAGAATAATATTATGTTTGGACATCCATTAGACAATACTTATTTATTGCCTGCCTCTCTCTGGTATTTAACTATTTATACTATTGAATTGTTGGGCAAAATATTCAGTTTAGAAAAAACCCACATTTTACATTCTTGTATAAAAGTTTAGTAGTATTAATTCATGGCGCTGTTATCTTTTGAGAAAGGTCTCACAAGCCTTGGACGTGTTTTTGCAAGCAACAAAGGCTACCGGACACGAACTAAAACGATTAATATCACGAAAAGAAGCGGATCCATCGATGATATTTCTTCACAAAGCGTCTCAGATCAAGAGTCTAAGCATGCCGTGTGTACAACCTACATCTGTGTTCCGATATGGGAATGCGTGGAAACCCCTGAAGGAAAATCGGGAAAAGGTGTACCTGCTAATGGTGCGATAGAGAAGAACGCAAAGAAAAGTCAAAAAATAGGGCGGGGTAATAGCTTGTATACCATTCCTCTAGCAGGCGATAGTATAGACAATGGAGTTTTGAACAGAGGATGTGTTGATCCTATTCCCCGATCCTCAGTGACTATCAAAACATCTAACACACCACCGCATCGAGATCCAGCTAATAGGGCTAGCGATGAGAGGCGAAGAAATAGTGGAATCGCACTACCACGTAGCGCTGAAACACTAGTTGCCAGTGAAACTAATGTGAATTGTAGTGGCCAACTATATGCATCACGACCTCAATCGCGTTCGTCTTCGCAGGGTAGAAGGGCATCAATTGATCATACTGCCACCCATGTGTCTGGTAGCGATTCACTATCTCTTACAGACGGTTTTTCAAGATATCGTAGGTCAAACTCTGTGGCCGACGTGCGAACCGGTGTTTCCAATGATTGGTCAGCTGAAGTCATACAAACTAATTCTGGCCTAATTATCGAAAGCCCACACCCCAACATTCACCGGAGGGCAAGTGTACAGAAGATGATTGAAAGAGGTAGTTCCCAAGGGGGGGTGCGTGTGGGTGCAAACAAGTTTCAGTTTGCATATCCCGCTCGTGTATGTGCGGACACAAAGTCAACTACAAGACCTGACAACCCACAGAATGAGGCGTCCGATCGAATTTGTGTCGATCCGATCCCTTGTATCATAGATACCTACGGGCATTCTGAGTACGACCGGCGTTCGCGCCGCCGGCCTCCTCCTACGCAAGAGTCACAGAATTTGATATACGAGGAATTGATGGCGTACAAGTTTTCAGAAATGCCCGTACACGAAGCTTCTATGCACAACATGAATGTGCATTTGACTAAATCACGTGGACGACAGAGGATGAACCAGCTTCAGGTTCTCGCCAGAGTCGGCTTTCAAACTGTGCCTAGTGCAGCAAACGTGCCGATTTAGTGTTGCGGTTGTCTTAAATAAGAGTAATAGGGATATTTCAATTAAAATTTTAAATAGAATACCTGAACAATATCGCAACACGAGCAACGCTCGGGCAACGTACAATTCAAAATGAAACACTTGGGCTATAGTATCAAACATATTCACTCGCATGTGTCCAAGGCTATTAAATAGTATAGTTGTAACCTCCGGGTGTTTAGAGAGGTTCACGGTACGCTAACAAATATGTACTTCTATATACTAATAGCAGGGCGCTGTTATCGCAGAAAGACTCACAGCTGCTTCGTATTAGTCTTCGGGTCATCGGATGTTTTGAGTTTAGACGCACAGTGTGACTTGAAATTGTCAGGTTTTTTTGTCTATTGTAGGAATTGAATATACATGACGCATAAATTGTTTGCAATCGGGAACTAAATATTTACCATATGTCTGTCCAAGAACATCATCAAATTTTAATCAACTGATGATAACTAGTAGCATGTTTTTAAAACTCAAATACATCCACCAACTTATATTTTACATTTTTTCCTTTGCATAGCTGCACAATCCAATACCCCGGAGATTAAACTTTGCACAAACCCCTCGAGTACGCTCGTGGAAAGAGTGAGGCCTATATAATCATACCTTCGGTCACCGGGATGTATCTGTATACCTGGAGGTCTATCTCAGCCATCTGGGTAAGCGACCCCCCGTTGTAATCGGGGCTGGCCGAGATCTCATAGGTACACGTTTTCGCAAAATATTGTCTAAGAGTTCATGATCGTGCCAAAGCACGCACATGAGATCGCAATAGCTAATCACTGATCTTCCCTCAATACACACTTCATTCATTTTACACCTAGGTAATCGATTGGATTGAACAGCAGTCTGAAGTGTTAAATTTTGATCTGACACTTTCACGTAAAGTTTGATAGCTTGTCCATATGATGGATGATTTAATTTGAGTGCTAAATGGATCATACGAAGTACGCTAAGCGCATGTATGTCATCTACGGCAGATAATACAACCGTAGAACTCTTAGTTGTGCTTAGAATGGAGTTCACAGTCTATAATCAAAAACCACATTTCTGCCCCTGCTCAACCCTTTTTAACCGATACTTCAAGTCGGCCAACGGTATAAATGTAGTTTGGTACACTCCTGTACCGTGGCGCCTCTTTTTGTTACCAAGTGTACTACCAACTTCATCCGGATTGCTTCATTCGGTCGCCTTTGTCTCGTTCTATCAGTGCCTGAGATGCCTGTCTGGAAGAGCTTCACACGGACTCGTGCACGCTGTAATACCCTTCAATGTTACACACTACATCAAGCACCTTGACATACCTGCACACATGGGCGTGACTATGGACGCACTAATACGAGTGGCGCGATGTAGACAGGATGGGGTGTTGTGTGCGAAGTCCCGTAGTCATAGGCGTACACGACCCAAGGCTACGTACGATATGCCGGATGTACAATCTTTTCACGTGGACAACACATACGTGCGGAAGTGCATGTGTTTTCAATGCACCAAGACCATCGTGACAAAATTTGAATACAATACGATAGTATCGCATATATATGTAAAGTTGAATGCACATATCTGTGGTATATGTGTATCCGTAGTATGCGATACACATACACAGCTCCCACCTGAGTGAACTCGGCATGACCCTGCAAGCATCCCGCCCTCGTCATCGTATGCAGCCCTATAGGGATACAACCAAGGCTGTGCCATCGCGATACTGGCGAACTCCATCTGGTATTGGGCATTGCCTGCTAAAACATAGAACCCAGACCGTCCAACCACTTTACAAAGGCACCACACGCAGCACACATGTCAAGCTACAGCCGAGCCGACAGGCCAATAAATGTTCGGTACAAGCGAGGACGCATGACACCTGCGCATATGCTATATGCCGTCCTCGTGGTCCCATTCCAAGTGACAGTAATAAGCCCAGAATGTGTGCTGTCAGGAGGCATTTCGCTCAAGAAGCACTACACAGAGCGTATGCACGGGGCATTGGAGGTCCTCTCCTCCCGGACGGCTGTGAGAAGGACAGAGACGCATACACGTACAGATAGCCCTGAAGCCTACACAGCGCCTGCGCCATACGATATGTATGCAACTCTTTGCGGAATACACGTATGAGTCTTGGTAGTAACCCACCACATGACAAGGACACCCGTGTCTATGCCTAGCATCAGTACTACAGCACTCGCAATTGATGTAAGGTACGCAAGCGGTCCACCATGCGGCCATGGGTAGTGCACGATGGCATGTACGGCGAGATAGCCCAGAGCATCTATACTGCATGTGCCATATACCATTTAGACAATTGTCCAAAGCACACTTGGTGTATAGTAGACCACCACGTATCTGGATAGGTCAACACTTAGCAGTAAGCTGTACCAGTCAACAATACTAGCAACCACTGCAGAACCGCTCATCAGTGGTGTGAGCTACGAAGGAGGACCCCCAGGTAACCTCGAGTAGTACATTATCGCATACACAGCAAGATAACACAAAGCATAAACCGTCCCTGTGCCATAGACCACGTACACAACTGCCCACAACACTCGTTTCACTACAGACCACCATGTGTTCGGAGCAGGAGCAGGAGCAGGAGCAAAAGTACTCACAAATGGCTTATCTTCTGGAGTGAGCGTCTCGCTCAGCGCTTGCATGGACGAGCTGTTTGGGAAGTAAAAGGGGTACGTGGTTGAGGAGATGTAGTAGTGACGAGCCGGTTAACACACAGTCGAGAATGGAGTGAAGCTGGTTGATTGTCGGCATGTGCTACGATAAGGTCTTATCTTTGAGTACTGAGTGACTTGAGTGATTTGGGGTTCAGAACTATGGTACGCCAATGTGCCGAAATTCAGTACGCGACAGCGACCAAATTGCACTTCATATCTCGATCATGTCTTGGTTCGATTCAATAGATGAGAAAAAAAAATTTATCATCCACGTATCAGAGGACATATACTCTACAAACCACAACCATGTACGCTCGGTGTACAGGTTCGAAGACCCAGGTTGTCGCAAGCACCGCATCTAATTATGACTACAATATATCTGGAGATATCATGTGTACACGCCCATAATATTATAAGAATTAGACACACACGGCTACACAGTCACATATCCATATTCACGTCCATATTCGTTATCCTAAATCAACCGCCGAACTATGGATATGAACAGCATACGTGTAAATAGAAGGCTTGAACCTGCGCTAGAGCGGGCATTGTACATAATTATCTGTGGGTAGTTATACATATTTACACATAGGGCTACAAGTGAGCAGTTATCTATTTGTATCTCTTATGTATGTATGCTAATAAATATTTCTCGGGTTTAGGGTTATATATATACCTAAAATCTTAAAACTGTAAGGCCAAAAATGATCTGGTATCTATATTCAAATGTTGGAATAGATCTGACGTGGTACTGATACCAATCTTGTGGCTTTCAAAATTATTTATAGTTACCTATCCAAGTAGGCTGATCTATGTGTCCTGAAATCAATCTACACCTGCGGACATATGACATCACAATATGTATGTAGGCTGAAAATAGTCCTGATGTCTACCTACATTCTGCAGGCATACAATATACTGGTGGGTATCAATAATGTACATGTGCAAATGTATGCCTACCTATCCCCTGGTAGCTATGCATGCTACACATGTTCAAAAGTAAGCTTGCACATATCCTGGTAGCTGCGCATACTACACATATTCAAAAATAAGCTTGCGCATATCCTGGTAGCTATATATACTGAACCTGAGCGGATGCAGGCGTATGTATATCCTGGTGGGTATCTATCTATATAGCCTACCTTGGCTGGTAACCGGGCATCGTGGTGCGCGCGTGCCGTTGTTTGACCTTCCTTGTTGAGCGAGGTTTGCGCGGAGTGACCTGTAGTATGTGAGTTGAGTACTATATTATAAATAGATGTAGCATTGTATATCTGTCTGTAATTGTAGTCCAAAGTCAACGATGAGATATATATATTTATAGCGGTGAAGCAAAAAGTTTCAGAATAGACATGACACTGGCTGCTATTGTAAAACCATGTTTTTGACGATATCTTTCATAGTTGTAGCTTTATAGGAATGTAAGATCGTGTGTAAAATAGATTTTGCACAGCTGACGAGCTATCACGTCCATCATGTAATGTACATAGTAAACCCGCACCAGCATTTGCGGTTGCTATCAAAACCCTCACTCCCGTGTTATGTGTCGCGATGCAACAAACATATCCATTCACGCAGGCAAGACTCGCTAGACATCAATACCAACTCACTCGAATACGCTACTCACTACAACCAATCCATTAACGCTAGACATCTATACCAACTCACTCCAATACACTACTCAATACAACCAATCCATTAAATCAAATATACGAAACACTCCAAATATTTCACTAGATCAGACATTCTAAGCACTACAACCAGTCTCTTACACACCCGACATACCGCTTCATGGTATACATGGGCGCGTTCTTCATAGCCCTGAATTGAGAGATTGTGATGATAGGAATCGAGGTCAGGGAGTGTAACAATATCATATCCACTTCTAACGCAGTGATGTACTGGCACATGTGACCCAGATTAAATGTAAGCTCCATCGATAGGTCTCAATATGTAAAGTGTGGGTAGATTTCTTGTACAATCACATTGAGTATGTCTATGCATATCATTTACCTGCACTTACAAACATGGCGCTTATTCTTGTATAAATATATCCATGTAAAGGTACAGTGCATGCAGTGCATACATACATATATGCATATATACATATACACGCACACACGCACACACACACACAC